CTGAAAATAGAAATCACAAAATACTTAACACTAAATGATGATGAAGGCGCTTTTGCATTTCAAAACCTGGTAGGATGTAGCCAAGCTACCCTGAGAAAAAAAAATTATAGCTTAGGCTATATGTGTTGAAGAAAAGATTAAAAATAAACTAATGTTTCAACTCAAGAAACCAGCAAAAACAAACCAGATAAATTCACAAAAAGTACAAAGAATTAAAAGTTGGGGCAGAGAGGAGATAGTAAGTATAATAAAAGATACAACTTTTGAAAATGGTGCAGGAAAAAAATCTATTTATCTGCAGTTACATCAAAACACTTGAGAATTGTTAACATCCTTAGGTGTAATGGTAATGTTTAATTTTTTCAAATCCTTATCTTTTCAAGTTTTATAACAAAATATTAATGAATAAAACTCTTGGGATTTACTTTAAAGTACATGGGCGGGGGGGGGGGGGGAGTAGACATGAAACCAAATTACTCTTGAGCCGATGGTTGTTGTAATTTATTGATGGCTGTGTGAGGGTTACTGTACTATTGTACTTTTGTGTATGCTTGATATTTTCTATAATAAATGGTTAAAATAGAAACATTTTATTGGAAACTATTTATAACTCCACACTAGTAAATGTTTAACCCTCAACCATAAGCATAGTATATGATACTTTTTGAACACATTGTAGATGTGCCAGCCTCTGTTCTGAGCCATTTACATTACCAGCTCAAATACAGGCTGTAGTCATGAGACAGAGACTTTGGTCAATAACTTTACTCGAATATGCCTTGTTTCTTCAACCTCAAATGGGATAATAACAGCACATCTACCGTAGGTTATTGTGAAGATTAAGTTGATGCATGGAAAATATCTAAAAGAGCCTAGCGACACAGTAAGCAACCACTAACGTGTGGCATGCTCTAAGAACTAAATAAAAGGATGAGGTCTCAAAATTGTTAAAGCCCACTAAGTTCTGACGGTCTGCATTTAAACAAAGAACAGAGAGAGCAGATTTAATGTTAACTTGGTGTTTTTTTAAAAAAGGGGGGCTAGCACCAGAATGGAAAAGTATAGGCCAATCTTACCTATTAGAATATGGATACAAAAATCTAAGTATTATCAAGTAAAACCCAGTGCATTGTATTAAAAGAATTACATACATCATGAAAAAGTAAGATTGATCCTGGGAATATAGAGCTAGTTAAACATTACTAAAAAACTCTCAGTGAACTCAAATTATAAAAGGTATTTCTAAAAAAGTAATAGATGTAGAAAAGCATAAAATAAAATAGCACCTATTCTTAATCCCCTACCCCAAAGAAATACTCTCAGCAAACTAAAAGTATAAAGCATCCTCTTTAACTTGATCAATATTATTTATCAGAAGCCTATATCATTCTTATTTAATGTGAAAACCTTAGAAGCTTTCCCATTAAAGAATACATGACGCATCCTTGCAGTGCTAGAATACAAAACTATTGAGGTCTTTGCCAACACAGTAAAAGCAAAAGATGTAAGAAGTATAAAAGTTGAAAAGAGGCAACACTGGCATTACTGGCAGATAAAGATGTAGCCAACTTCCTAGAGAAAACGCAGATTCTCAGAACTTAGAGAGGGTTCTGCTGCATGGCTGGATACAAGGTCACCAACTTTCTATCAACTGACGCCAAACAGGAAATGCCATGAGTCCATTCTTAGTAACGAAGTCTAAAGTACCTAGGAATTAACCCAAAATGAAATTAGCCAAGACTGTATTACAGAAAACTCGAATGCCATAAAAGATCTGAATAAATGGAGAAAAGACATGTTCATGAACAGAAAAACTCGAAGTTAATCTCCTCAGATAGATAAATATATTCCATGCCACCTGGCCAGGAGCGCAACAGAATGCTTTGTCTTCTTTGACAATCCACTTTCAAAATTAATATGAAATGAAATGGGATGGAAGGGTATTTGAAATGAGTGTACAAGTGAAAAATATATATATTTGGAGCACTAAAAACAATATGAAACAGATGTAGAGACAGCCAAAACTAGCATGGAATCTTGCTTGATCAGATATCAAGACTTATTTAAAAACCTGTATGAATTAAAACACATGTGGGAAAGTTAACAAATGGACAAACTGATGGAAAAGTAGTTCAGGAACAGGCCTACATAAGTGAGAATTCAGTATATGATAAAAGGCAGCTCAAGTCAATGAGAACAGATGGACTATTCATTAAAAATGCTGGAGCCACCCTGGCGGGATGGCTCAGCTGGTTTGGAGCATCTCCCCCATATACCAAAAAGGTTGCTAGTTTGGTCCCTGGTCAGGGGCGCATGCAGGAGAGAACCTATTGATGTTTCTCTCTCCCTCTCTCCAAACAAACAAAATCAAGGAAAACATCCTCAGGTGAGGATTTAAGAAAAAAAATGCTGGGAGCAATTGGTTACCCATTGGAAAAATAACAAATCAGAACTTACATCAAAACCAGAATAAAATTCAGATGAATTCATTAAAGGTAAAAAATAAAATTAGAACAATGTAAAATACTGGGCTAGAGAAAGCCTTCTCAAACAAGATTCAAAAAAGCCAAAAATGAGAGATTGATAAACTTGATTACATCTAAACTCTACTCCAGTGCAACAGAAACAACCACAAACAATGTGAAGAGAAACTAGAGATTGGGGGGAAATACTTGCAACATGTACCATAGGTAATATAGAATAATTTTTATGAATCCATTTAAAAGAGACAAACCTAATAGAAAAATGGCCAAAGTATATTACTAGGCAGTTTCAGAAGAGGAAATACAGATGGTCAATAAGCAAAAAGATATGCAAATTAAAACATTAAGACAATTTTTTACCCACCAGATTGGCAAAAGCATTTAACTTTAAAATGATGAAGAAAAACAAATATTCTCACGCTAGGAGGAGTATAAACAGGTAACAGCCACTTGGGAGAGAAATATGGCAGGATCTTTAAAACTAAAGCAGGCCTGCCTGTGACCTAGCTCCCCTTCTACTGCGCGAGGTACGGACGCAATCTAAGCGTCCATCCCCGGGGAGATGAGTCAGTCCGTTGTGCCGTAGCAGATGAAGTAACGAGCTGGGCTGGAATGTACAATACGCCTACATCCGGAAGGCTGCATCTGAAATGACAGCAGTTTAGCCCTGGCCAGTGTGGCTTAGTTGGTTGGGCATCGTCCTGTGCACTGGAAGATTCCAGGTCAGGGCACAAACCTGGGTTTCAGACTCGATCCCCAGCAGGGGGTGTGCAGGAGGCAGCCAGCTGATGTTTCTCTCTCTCTCTCCCTTCTTCCCTCTCTAAAAGTCAATTTTTAAAATCTTTTTAAAAAATAAAAATTACAACACTTTTTATCTGTAGTTAACCTCAAAAGTTGGGGTGGCAGTTAGGGGGACACTGGTCTTATTTATATTAAAGATGTAAAACATCTGTAATGTTTTAACTTTATGTAAGAATAATTTAGACACTGCATGTTTAATTATTTTTAACCAAACAATAGGCACAGGGCATCTAAGTTCCAGTCTCATTTGTACCAGAAAGTCCACCTTAAAATTTTTTGTTTAATCCCTGCCTTCTTGTCACTAATATGGAAACTATGTGCCATCCCAGGTTCCTGTGGAAAAAATGCAGTTGCCAGTCTGGCCTGATGAAAGTCTGTTACTTTCCTAAGCCTTTTTTTTTTTTAAATAAAGAGAACCATATTTTTCCAAGAATTTTATAGAAGATGGAACTCATTTTGAGAATTCTCTGACTACATTTGAGCAGCATATTTCCATTTTTATTCACAGTTTGTAAGTTCAATGTAGTTATTTGGTCTAGTTTAAAAAAAAAATTGTAGAGCCTTTCACCTTTCTACTTGTTCAATAGCCTATAGTTAAAGTTCTCATATTACTGTTTCTAGGCTCGCATATCTCCCAAGTCTAGGTTTGAACCCCTCATTTCATCTTTTTTTTTTTTTATCCTCACCCAAGGACATTTTTCCATTTTTTGTTCAGCTAGAGCGGGAGGGAGAGAGAGGAAGAGAGAAAGAGAGAAACATCGATGTGAAGGGACACATCGAGTGGCTGCCACCCGCACCACCAACCAGGGCCAGGGCCAAACTGCAACCGAGGTACATGCCCTTAGCGGGAACCGAACCCGGGTCTCTCTGGACCGCAGGCCGACGCTCTAACCGCTGAGCCAAACTGGCCAGGGCCCCCTCATTTCATCTTAAAACACACTGTTGACCGCTCATGAGTTAACTCGTGTTTGCACTCGCATTAGCTATTTCAAGTTTTGAAACTCAGGGCAATATAGAATTATTGTATTTGTGACTCTTCACCCTAAGGGTCGAAGTTCAAAAAACAGCACACCATTCTATATTCTTGAAGTAGCGAGGGAATGGGCATCTGCTGGCTCGAATGAGTGCAGCACAGAACCTCACACTTCTCGTCCTTCGGAAAGAGCTCCTGACATTGGTTCACCTCATAGGCTTTCAGGGCAATTAAAAGACCACGTTTTAGAAAAAACAATCACTGGTACGAAAAAATCCAACTAGAACGTATAAAGTGTGTGTTTCAACAGGTGATTGCTATACAGTATACCACACCAAAAAAATTACTAAAATGTATAATATGTAGCAGATATGTACAAAGTTTCATTTAAATTCATTATGTATAAATAAAGTAATGAAGTGTATTTAGATTGTTTCACTTTCATACGCAATTACAAAAACATATCTGATGACATGAGATAACTTCTGCATAAAATTGCTGGTCAACAATGTGTTAAATATTAAGCTAAGTATCTGATAAAACCAGCCTAGGAGATTTCACACTCATAAGCAAATGTCACCTTTATCGAAAGATTTTGCCTCTAAATCTCTTCCCCTGTCCAGTATTTCATTTTTTTTGTGTTGTAGATAAATGTCAATACAGTCTACTTAGCCTCTGTGAACATATGTGAGGGTAATGTCAGTCCTCAGTAAATCTGAAATAGCACTTTTTCCTTCCCCAAGGTACGGAGCAGTTTCAGCGGGAATGCTGTGTGCCCTCACCACCCTATCCCAGCAACTAGAGAATGAAAATGCTGTGGATGTTTTCCAGGTTGCAAAAATGATCAATCTTATGAGGCCTGGAGTATTCACAGACATTGTAAGTAATTTGCTTATTTATGAAGCTTGTACGGACATCAGCTAAAACTCAGGCTCACCTTGTAGAGCACTGATTCCCTGCTGGGGGTGATTTTGCCCCCACCCACCCCCAGGGGATGTTTGGCAATGTCTGGAGACCTTTTTAGTTGTCACATCTGGAGTCAGAGAAAAGTACTCTGGCATCTAGTGAGTCCAGGGATGCTGCTAGACATCCTGCTACGCATGCGAGAGACCTCCACATCATCCGGCCCAAGATTCAGTAGTACCGAGGTGGAGGAACTGCTTTCTAGACTCTAGTGTTCTCTAGTTACAATATGCGGACATACTGTTATCTAAATTTACTGTCAACATTGAGAGTTAGTTCCGAGCTAACAGAAATCAAAAGGAGGTGAAGAAAGCATGGGTCTTGGTTATAAAGGATTCACATGATTTTTTAGACAGCGGAAGTGTATGTTCCTATTTCGCTAGTATGTTTTCCACAGCTACATTCATGATTAGTACGCCTGCCTTAGATGAAACGACTAAGCTGTCCTCTGGCTCAAACCGTCTTCCTCTCGTTTTGCAGGAACAATACCAGTTTGTCTATAAAGCAATGCTCAGCTTGGTCAGCACTAAAGAAAATGGAAACGGTCCCATGACAGTGGACAAAAATGGTGCTGTTCTCATTGCAGATGAATCGGACCCTGCCGAGAGCATGGAATCCCTAGTGTGATTGGAATCCTGACAGGGCACTTAATTTGTAAACTTCTGAAGACTGAGAACTTTTTTGAGGCCTTTTTTGCCAGACTCTAGGTTATACAATAACCCAGTTACTTTTTTACACTGATAAAAGTTTTGATATTTATTTTTTGCCATTTTATGTCTTAATGGTATCCTACTGAGCATTTGCACCTCTGTTCATTTCCCCCAGTGAGACGCAATGTGACCTAGTTTGCACTATCTGATCAGTGTTACTGCCTATAATCTAATACTACAGCGAACCCTGATGGACATTCCGTAACAACATACATGCTCCTCTTTAGTTCAGTGCAGTGAAGGTCTTTGTTATGACAGTGAACCTTGATTTCGTTATTATTGCTCAAGCAGCTGCATTCTCCTCGCAGGCGATGCTGTATTTTTCCACAGTCCTCCTCTCCTACTTTTTTAGACATTGTTCAATACTGTACACCTTCTATATTTCAATGGAGTGGGTGAGCATTGTTTTCTTTTAAAGAATCGCAGGTTATTGGGAGCTACTAAGAAGGTCTGTCGACCTCATGGCCTTGAAACAGTTCCATTTATGATGGTGAAGACATCCATTAAGAAGGTTTAAGAGTTGCTTCATGTGAACATCACTTATTAGTTACAAACTTATATTCATAGCTTAAAAATGCCCAATTGTGTCAAAATAAAGGATATCTCTGTATTACAGTTTTCACAGTAGCTACGTGGACAGTGTGTGTTATTTCCATTTGACTCTCTGAAATAGCTACCCCCCCCCCCCAAAATCAGGGCTATCTTTTACAATAGAGAGATGGCAATATTTTACACAACTCAGCTAAGAAACCCTTAATGACTCTCCATTAATGCTCCTTGGTTTAGAATAGCATACCTCACGGCAGGTGGAATAAACATTCTCACAGGTGTGTAGTTTTGAAACTAGACCTCTAAAATCCCTCTTACTCATATAGCAACCTAATAAAAACTACCTATATAGTTCGCATTCATTTCTTTCCTTTTTTGCCAAATGTTTCATGATAAATCTCGTAATTACATACATTCTTCTACTTACGATTAACTTGAAAATACTGTATTAGCGAAAGTCTTAGGACTAGACTCCCACACATGGACAAATCAGATTTGGAGAGAGAAAATTAGAATCTTGAATAAGAGGTCATATCTACTTTTTCAAATAGTTTTTAAGAGAGAGAGACGGCATTATATGTCTGTGTAGTTTAGCCTCAAGAACACACATACTTCAGTAGAAGATGCCAGTAGTCACTACACAGAGCCGCAGGCAGCTATTTGGTCCAGCCTCTGAGCCCTGTTCACTCCACAGTACATAATGGCAAAATTAGGAACATTAATAAGGAATTGCAGTTCCATTAGAAAAATAACCTACCTACTGAGATCTGTTTCTTCTATTGCTTATTTTCTTTTGAGGGACAACTTCTGTCAGAAGTGAACCACCAGAACTAGACCTGTTAAGAAAAAAAGGGTTTTGGTTATTTTTTATGTCAATAAACTTCAACAAAAAGTCTGCACTGGCTATTCATACTATCTCAGTAGGCATTAGAACATTAATGATAATCAGCACTGAGGTTCTGTTGTTCCTCTTGCATTGGTTTTCTAGGACATTTGTCAGAATCATGCTGAAGGGCCAAAGCAGAGAGGCTACAGGCCAAGACCAGGAGTTCAGTGCCTAGGCCCGGTCAAGGGCATTTTCACGAATTACGTAACTTTCTAGGGCTAGGTTTACCACATAGATTCAGCAACATAGAAATAGTCAACTGTTCACGTACTGTGTAGGCTAAGGCTTGACAAAAGGTGTGAAAATGAGCAAAGTTTGCTAAATTGTATGGGCCAGATGATTCAGCACCTTACAGGCCCTGTGCTCCCAGCAGAGGTGCACAGGGTGCTCTAACACTAAGAACCATGGAGCACTACAGCTGCAGGGCTGCAGGGAGTCGGGAAGGGAATGGCTTCAGATCATGGCAAGAGCTAGATCATTTCAGTCAATTAAGTAGGTCACTTTGGTCTTATAGAATATTGATGTGAGCTGACTCTTTCCAGTAGTTGGCAGAGTGGACTTCACTTTCAGAAGTAATGTTCAGGTTGGGGTTCATGGGTTGAGGTTCTTGATCCCTCAATAATTTTTTCTTAATATAAAAGTAAACATTGGTTAGAAAACACACTGTAAGTATTCCCTTCTGTGCTATTTGCAGAGGTCTCAATTCATGGAACTACATACCCTCCAACAGAATTCTGGGACCGTTTCTTATATGGCCATCAGAATCATGATAAAAGAGGTAGCTAGTAAACAACAGGAACATTACAGGATGGTTTACAAGTTCTCTGTGAACCAGTTGTGTGTCTACAGTGAGCTTGAACCAAAGTCTCCAAATCCCGACTCACTGAACTATGAGCAGTTGCTATTTGCCCATCTTGTCAGAGTGATCCAAGCATACTTCACTGAGGATAGTGATAGTCAGCAGCTCTTCCTCCAGGGTATCCTCACTATTACTCTTCATTTGTTATTGGCAAAAGCATGCCTGCAGCCTTCCCAAGGCAGAGCTTCAAAGATGGTGTTTTCTTTGAGACACAAGCACATTGCTTAACTACATAATAAGGTCAACACCACTGCACTCAGGGGGAAAGGAAATAGCTTTTGAAATTAATGTGTGCTATTTTATAAAATAAACGTATTGGGTGTATGAATTTAGCTCTAGGTAAACAGAATGCACACATCATGAGAAATTGAATTGCAATGATCAGACCACGTGGCTGCGCTGGACATCAGAGAAAAGACACTTCATTTCCATCAGAACTCTCTGGCATCCAAAAGCCACAATATCTTTTTTTATATGTAAACAAGTTAACTTCTGAATTTCAAGAATAAGATTAATTGAACTGGTTTTCCTAATTGTTATTCGTTGGAGCTTTTAGAGTCTATTTCAAGTTGGAGTCTAGCAAGGTCAGAGAAAGCTATGGGTATTCAAGGTCTGGCTGTTGGAGTTTTTAGCCCAGAGTGACATATTTAAGTCAACAACTAACCTTAATTATTTTTTAATGACACAGCACAACTGCCTTGTTATGAATTTTTCTTAAATGCATATATACTGTATTTAAAAATTAAAATATAGTACCAATTTACCAAAGATACCTATTATTAATTTTAAGCAAAAAATAAGAAAAAGAAACCCAAACTCATAATTTAAGAAATAATAATCAAAGTGTAGTTTGTCTTAAGAATTTAGCAGTTATACTGGAAAATGCATTTCAACTCTTATGTTCTAAAATTTGCGTTCCAATGGTGTCAGTGAATCTTTATATGAAGGGAAAATGCCTGCTTTTTTTTTTTTTTTTTTTTAACAGCTGTAATTTCACTTACCCTTTGCGCTTTCCCTTAGTTGCCCTTTAACATACAACATTGGCTTTATCTCTAGAAAGAAGGCATGCTACAAATAGGAAGGAATTGTAATAATAATATTGGCCTCTACTTTGTCTTAGCTGTTAAACTGTTTTTAGTATTTTTGTTAAATATTTGCAAAGGGAAGCATTTTCTACAGAGGATAATTCATTTCAAGAAAAATGTCTTGAGTTTTAAGAAATAAACATCTCCAGGAAAGGAGACAGCCGATTTTATAAAATGTCGCAACTCTCCAACATTTGGGGTAGTGACTCTTTTGTTAGGACATTTGAAACTAGCAAGCAGCCATTGTTTCTAGAAAACAAAACACACAAAAAAACGTAGCCTTCATGTTGATTCATGTTTCTTTCACTTCATTTTGAAATAGTTAAAATCATTAAGACTGTAAATATTTTGTTGCTTGGATAAGCATCTTCTGGGAACTTTGTATCTATGGTGTATAATCATAGAATTTTATATTTTGATATAAAGCTAATTTTTTTCTAGTTTCAACTCTGTTACAGTTTTTTTGTTTTTTGGTTTTTTTTTTTTAGTTTGGGGTTTTTTTGTTTTTTTTGTTTTGTTTTGTTTTTTGTGGTGGATATGTGAATTCAACTTTATGTCTATGAAATAGCAAATCATCATCTTTGCATTCCAAAAGAATCCAACATGTGTTATTTCTTTGAGGCAGTGATTGTGAGAGTTGGATTTTCTTTTTTAATTCCATTGACCATTTGTGCAATAGGAATTAGACATAGTCACTGAATACTTTTGCTGCATTGACCCATTTGGAAAAAAAGTGTTTTGGGTTTTTTTTTTTAATTTGTTCTGGGGGAGGGGTTTTGTAACCTGAAATTTTTCCCTTTTTTCTTCTGTTTAAAACTATATCAAATCATTCTATTATAGTGTTATTTAATATGTAAATTGTATTGCTGTACATAAAATAAAGTATGGTTTTTGATGTATTAATTATTGATGAGCATTTCTATGAAAATATCTATATTCAATAAAATCAGGCTACTAGTCTCCCTTAACAGATTATATTTACATCCACTAACCCTTCGTCTTAGTTTCCATGGTAGTTAAATGAATATTAGGAGTTATCTTTACATAGCCAGAAAGCCAAAAAGAAGTGATTTTCTGAGTTCTTCCTCCTTTAAGGCGTAAACAATGACAAAGTTTTACCTGCATATTGAATTAAACTTTATGAGTCTACTAAGAATTACTATGTTCCCCAGTTATCGACTACAGTTATGGCAACTTCTCCCTCTTAATATCTGCTGTGTAGGATGAAGAATATATCCTGGGAAAACTTGGAGAATCTATGAAATACATAGGATCAATATAATTGCTTCTACTTACATGGAATTTTGACATTTCCTAATATGGTTCCCACAATTGGCAGCTTTGATCCACCCTTCTTTTGAACTTTGGGTGGCCCCATATTCAGTAATTCAAATCTTACTATTATGGTTCCAATTTTTCTTTCCATTAAGATTAAAGAGCTGATATTTCAGTCCCCCTAAGTAACTGGGAATTTAAGAAACAATGTACTAACAGTTTCCAGTGCTGTCTGAGAAAAAAACCAATTTCAGCACAAAAGAATCAATCTCTGATGATACTACCCTAGTATTCCTCAAATTTCACCCGCCGGGACTCACTCAATACATGGCATTAACAAGCTGGAGATGGGTAGCAGCTGGTTGCGTTTTAGGGGAGACATGTACTCTCCAGTTCACCAGTCCACATCTCTTCCATCACCTTAGTCTGCCCACTGTCAGCTGTTTAAATGACCTGCCTAGATGCTATGAGCAGTTGCTTAAAAATCTGAGACCATCTTCCATCTCAGGCTGGTAATGCGACAACCAAGAACAGCAGAGGTTTTATACTGGTCTTCCGTCACAATCCTAGGGAGCCAGCATGGGGCACACTGAGTCCCCACATTCCGAATTACTTCTGAGTCCACCAAGATGGTTCCATGAAGCAGCAGCTATGACTGTTCAAAGTAATTGGCAAATCAGTTCTCTACTCCATGCCTTTTACTGTCGAGAATATAACTCTAGACAAGGAAGCTTCATTTCTGCTGCCAAAAAAGGGGCAAAGAAAGAAGGGTACAAAGAGCTACTGACCCAAAACTCCATTTTCTTTTTTTTTCCTCATTCGAGGACATTTTTCCATTTTTCGCTCAGATAGAGTGGGAGGGAGAGAGAGGAAGAGAGAGAGGGAGAGAGAAACAATGACATGAAAGGGACACATCGAGTGGTCGCCTCCCGCACGACTCAACCAGGGCGGGGGACAA